GGCAGAACAGAGAATCAGTAATATAGAGGACAAACTTACAGAGAATAATGAAGCAGAAAAAAAGAGGGAGATTAAGGCAAAAGAGCATGACTTAAGAATTGGAGAAATCAGTGACTCATTAAAAAGGAACATCAGAACATAGAGGTCCCAGAAGAGGAAGAGAGAGAAATAGGGGTAGAACGGTTATGTGAGCAAATCATAGCAGAAAACTTTCCTAACCTGGGGAAGGACACAGACGTCAAAATCCAGGAAGCACAGAGGACCCCCATTAGATTCAACAAAAACCGACCGTCAACAAGGCATACCATAGTCAAATTCACAAAATACTCACGCAAGGAGAGAATCATGAAAGCAGCAAGGGAAAAAAAGTCCCTAACCTACAAGGGAAGACGGATCAAGTTTGCAACCGACCTATCCACAGAAACTTGGCAGGCCAGAAAGGAGTGGCAGGATATATTCAATGTGCTGAATCAGAAAAATATGCAGCCAAGAATTTTTTATCCAGCAAAGCTGGATAGAAGGAGAAATAAAATAGAAGGAGAAATAAAAAGTTTCCCAAACAAAAACTAAAGGAGCTTGTGACCACTAAACCAGCCCTGCAAGAAATTTTAAGGGGGACTCTCTGACGGGAGAAAAGATGAAAAAAAATTTTTAAAAATATATATGTATATCTCAAAAGCAACAAAGATTAGAAAGGACCAGAACTCCAACTCTACAAGCATCATAATGGCAATAAATTCATATCTTTCAGTACTCACTCTAAATGTTAATGGATTCAATGCTCCAGTCAAAAGACATAGGGTAACAGAATGGATAAGAAAACAAGATCCATTTACATGCTGTTTACAAAAGACCCACTTTAGATGTAAAAACACCTTCAGATTAAAAATAAGGGGATGGAGAACCATCTATCATGCTAATGGTCAACAAAAGAAAGCCGGAGTAGCCATACTTATATCAGACAATCTAGACGTTAAAATAAAGACTGTATCAAGAGATGCAGAAGGGCATTATATCATAATCAAGGGGTCTATCCACCAAGAAGACCTAACAATTGTAAACATTTCTATGCCAAATGTGGAAACACCCAAAAATATAAGTC